GCACACACACACACACACACACACACACACACACCACACACACACACACATATATATATATATATATAATATATATATATATATATATATATATATATATATATATAATATATATATATATTATATATGCATATATAAACATATATATTTTATAAACTCTTCAATCGGGATTCGATCCCTCGCCGCCGTTGCATGTGAATGCAATACGGCCGCTCTACAATACTCGTCCATGACCCACTCAAAAGGAGTGTGCAACTAGGAGCTAAGTAGCGTCCATAGACATTACATACCTACTCATACATGATAAGGCTTTACACACTCCCCGTGGGCACTCGGTATATATGGAAAGAGCAGAACAAATCGAAAATCAGATAAACTTTTTTTTTTCTTTCTTTTTTCTTTTTTTTTTTTTTTTTTGCGGCCAGGGAATTATTCCATCTTTCATAGAATGCACCTCAGGTTACCTTATTTGGGATTTGTTCTGCTCTTTCTAGAGCGGCCTTCTTGCATTCACGCGCAACGACGGCGAGGGATCGAATCCTGATTGGAAAGGTTATAAATATTCATATATATATATATATATATATATATATATATATATATATATATAATATATATATATATATATATTATATATATATATATATATTTATATATATAATATATATATATATATATATATATATATATATATATATATATATATATATATATATATATATATATATATATATATATATATATATATATATATATATATATATATATGATATATATATATAGCAATGAAATACTCAATACCGTGTTGATAATATGGAAAAAAACCCACAATGCACAAACTAGATTTATTGATGAAAGCGAGACAACAGTTTCGGAATCGTCCTCGATTCCATCTTCAGACTCGAAGATGGAATCGAGGACGATTCCGAAACTGTTGTCTCGCTTTCATCAATAAATCTAGTTTGTGTATTGTGGGTTTTTCTTCCATATATATATATATATATATATATATATATATATATATATATATTATATATATATATATATATAATATATATATATATATTTATATACATATATATATATATATATATATATATATATATATATATATATATATATATATACATACACACACACACACACACACACACACCACACACACAACACACACACACACACACACATATATATATATACACACACACAACACACACACACACACACACACACACACACACACACACACACATAATATATTTACACACACACACACACACACACACAACATATATATATATGCATATATATACACAAATATAAATGTATATGCACATACATATTTATATGAATATGTAAGTAAATATGCATATATATATGCATATATGTATTCTTTTTTTTTTACTCATACCTTGTAATGTCTATGCCGAATACGAATCCAAAACTGACTTTGAATTGATGGCATTTGAAGCAATTTAAAATCAGTTATGCTCATGTTCACATTTGTTACGAGATATAATTGATAACATACGAATCATCAGGTTTGAGTACAGTAATTAATCATGTCCCGTCGACAATTATAAACGGAATGTACCAGCAGTTTTCAGGTTTTACACTTTTCATGCTATAAAAATTCTTACAGTAGCTGTTGTTTGCATGTGTATGTGTGCACGTGAGTAAATCTGTTACTGTGTGTGTGTGTTTACAGGCACATATGAATCATTGCCTCATTCCTTCTGTAACCCACTTTTAAAATTATGTCCTTAATATGAAGAATATCTCCAAGGTGCACATGAACACGTAAAGGTGTTTTGCCTTGTTCATAAGACTCAGCAGATACATCTCCGCAACACAATAGACAGTCATGTAAAAAAAAAAAATAAAAAGTAGTTTAGGATCTGTAGAATTGTTATGTCATGATGAAAGGGACGTAATCTGCTTGTTTTTGTTTTTAATAACACAACAAAATTGATAATAGATTTGGAAAATAATTGACAAAGTAAATATGTTTCAGAAGGGCATTTAATTTTCAAGCATACTAAGAATATTATTAAGTGACGTCCCTGCTTCAGCATTTATTTATTTCTTACATTTGTCATGCACTGTGACACTGCCGTCCCTCCAACTCAGAATGTTTTCCATTGTTCCTCACTCCCTCAGAAAGCGCGCTCACACAAATGAGGCATTTCACTGACGCTGGCATTTTCCAGATAAACCTAAGCTCCAAAAGCAAAATAACTTTCCTTTTTCATAATCTCTGAAAAGAGAAAACACTACAGTTAATGCAGGAAATTGAGAAATGATTAAATATATCGTTCAGAATAACACTACCGGCACCTTCAGCATCAAAACTAAGCATATACGAAACACACACACACACACAAATATATGTATATAATATATATATATATATTATATATATATATATATATATATATATATATATATATATATAATATATATATATATAAACATATTTGGTTGATGAGTGTTTGTAGAACAAAATATTTACAAAATATATGCATTTAGCCGTCATTTCTTTTCAATATGGCTGCAAAAATGGAATTTTAAAAGTACACTATTGTATATTTGCTAAAACAAATTGCAGCTTTCCGTATTTTTTTCCAACAAGAATCGCCATTTGACTGGCTTATTGGTAAAGCTAAACAACAAAGGAACAGTCAAAACATAATATTTACCTTTATTTGTACTTCCTCGACACATGGCATGGTAACAAACAGTACGAAAGTCAATGAATGCTTAAAAGATTTTAAAATGTAATATATGATGCATTATT